CAGCTGTCGTGCCGGGCGGTCTCGACGGGCGACGGCGGCGAACTCCGAGGTAGCTGGCCGCCACTTCTGACGGCCGAAGAGGGAGAGAAGCATCTCCCAACGCGACCTGTCGTTGTGGTAGACCGCCCCGGCGAGGCTGGTGCGGACGTTGAAATCCTCGGGGCCGCCCACGCGGACGAACGGGACCGTGAAGTAGCCCCCGGCGATGTGGCCCGGCATGGCTGGGCCAGTATGGGGCAGGGGGGGGGGGCGGGCGAAAGGAGAGAGCCAGGGAGAGCTGGGCGCCGGGCACAGACGACTTAGCAGACACCACAGCGCCCCAAGTCCCCGGCAAGCGCGCCGAAACCTAGGCTTTTGCGGGCGCACCCCCCTGGCGTCCGGGCTAATGCCCCAAGTCAGGAGTCGGAGGTTGATTGCCCACCCGACGTGGAGGAGGCATCCTCTCGCCTCCTCCTCGTGTCGGCGCTTTCGCCCGACGATGAGCCATGAACTGAAGCCGGGCTGGGAGACTCAGGCTCCTGGCGGTGGGCTTCGCCCGGGAAACAGCGCTTGCACAGCGCCGCGCCTGGCGGCGGCGCCGAAAGCCGGCGGGGCCCGATCCGCCTGTGTGGCCGGGCCGGGGGCAGACGAAACCCCACCCCACCCCACCCCACCCCACCGGTCGCTGGGCTGGCGGAGGACCCAAGGCGCGCTGCGCGGCGAACTCCCGCTCGATCTGAGAGGCCAGGGCGGTGTCGTAATCCACATTGTCCGGCAGCTGGCGAAGCCCCGCATGGCTTCTGGCGGCCTGCTCCTGTCGGATGAAGGCCTGGCGCCGCAGAAATTCCCGGCGATGTGGATCGTCCTGCTCCTGGTCCTGGAGCTCAGGCGGGGCGGCCTTCTTCGGCACGGCCGTCGGCGGCGTGGGCCCGAGGGTAGACGCCATCGACGGAGGCGGCGTAGCCTCCGGCTCCAGCACCGGCGGTGCCTTCAAGACAGCCCTGGCGGTAGAGCTGCTGGCCGCCTCGGGCGTCGGCGGTGGTTGCGCCGCCATGTTCAGTGGCCCTGTGCTCTTGAACGCCGCCGGCCTCGGCGGGAACGGTACCGGTGGCGGCTTTGCCGGTGATCCCGACGTAGGCGATGGCGGCGAAGTAGCGTCCGGCTCCAGGAACGGTGGAGGAGGGGCCTTAGCCACCGTCTTGGGCTTTGCCGCCGCCCGGATGGGCAGAGCCGATGCAGCCGGAGGCGCCCCTTCTGCGGAGTCGAACTCGGCCAGGTAGGACGTGAGCGCGTCCCAGCCCGCCTCTGGGAGCGGCGGGTCGGCGACCGGCTGAGGCGGGGCCCTGGCGGGAGCTGGGTCAAGCCCTTCCCAAGCCAGGATCCGTCGCGGGCTGGTCCGCCCCAGGCGCCAAGGATGCCGAAGACGCCGACGTGGACAAAGTCGGCGGCCCCTCGCCCATGGCGGTGTCTTGGTCGGGCGTGGCGTCAGCCTCGACCAAGGCCGCCCTGAGGTTCGAGGCGTCCTCGGGCGACAGGGCCCGGATAGCGGCAGCCAGGCGGGGTACCGACATGCCCGCGACGAAGGACCGGATGAAGTGGGCCTCGTACGTCTGGGTGCCCCGGTCGTTGCCGCCTGCCGGAGGGGGCGGACCAGTCGGAGCCGGGCTGTCGTCGAGCTCCAAGCCCCATGGATCGGCGACCTCGGTCCCATCGGCCCCGCCCGGCGAAAAGGCCTCAGCGGGCAAAGTGCCCGGGGAGGCGAACGCCCCAAGAGGCGTTGGCTCCAGCCCGTCCAGGCTGTTCAAATCCAAACCACCAGGCGCCGACGTAGTAGGCGCCGATGTCGGGCCGACGTCGAGACCCACGCCAGGCGAGGCCCCCAGGCTGTCCGCCCCGACAGGCGAGGCAGGGGCGGCAGCGGCCTCATGCACTGGCGTGAGTCCAGACGAAGCCATGACCCGACGAGAGGCGGTGAGGAAAGACAGCGAGATCACACAAATTGACGGGCGAGCCGAAATGCTGTTCGGCCGCCCGCCTGAGCTTGTTCCTACACACACACGTGTGTTACACAACAAAACACACACACACACACACACACACACACACACACACACTTTTGCTGTTGGCCCTGAGTTTGTTATACCTTGGGATTTGTAGGGTTTGCTTTGGCTTGGCAGGTTCTGCTTGCAGAGGCTCCTTCGGCCGTTAAATGTATCTCAGGATTGCCAAAGTCAGCCAATCGTCTGGGCCAATGTGGACGAGCATCGATAACACACGCATCGGGGGATGACCCACTTCATTCCACAGCCATGCCCACAAATGCCACGGGCTGCTTGACGTCCAATGGGACTGGTGTTTGGAGCCCTAAATCATGCGCATTCCTGGGGTGCAAATGCTCCAGTCTACAGGTCCCTTCCCGTAAATTCGCGCCTGTGGGTGCTGTGGACACCCATGTCTTTCAACAAGTAAACAGATGTAAACAGTATCGGAACTTCTCCATCAACCCTTCTCCGCAGTGCGATCTGCCATGCATTGAAGGGACCCAGGGACCTCGCTGGCTGAGGCATTCTGGTGTACGTCCAGATTGTCGTCATAGACCTTGAGAGCAAGGAACTACGCGTCAAGCCACGCGCTTGGCAACTCTCTCCGTCTCCTTCTCAGAATCACAGACTGACACGTTGCCAAACTCGTCGGGGCGATTGGGGTCCACCTTGTAGATATGCCTCCTTCGTGCTGCTGTGACAGGTCTGCTGAAACTACACGAATCTGGAGGCAGAGCGAAACACATGATTCTATTCCAGGGGCGCCGCTGGTAAAGAAAAATGAAGAAGATCACGTCATCACGCAACGTCATGTACCTGCTCATTGATGTAAAACATGCTTTAACTTTCAAATCTTTTGGCATGAGGAGGGCATGAGACTGCCGGATGCCAGTTCGCAGCACATCGGAGTCCCCAAAAAACTAGCCGCAGAGTTGGAAGACAGACATCTAAAGTTCGGGTGCGAAGCAACGACGCGATCGACCCAGCCAACACACACCACACTGGTGTGCCATCATTCCAAAGCCTGGAAGATCCTGGAAGCCCCACCTTGATGCCCTTGGAATGAGACTGTGAGGATGTAGGGAGGAGCTCTCGCAACTAGCAGTGGCGAGGAGGGTTGGGACCTGATCTTACGGTTTCTCTGTTTCTGACGGAGTGCTTTGTCCTGCCATCGGTCTCCTCGATGATTGAACGGTTCTTGATTGTCTGTTCTCGTCGTTCCAAATCAAATTAGGCTCGCCTGTGTTTGTTCGTCATTTGGTCCGCTGCAATGACGAACGCGTAGATATCATCCTAAGCTACCACCCAGTGACCCAGTCATGTGAGCACACACTACTCACTCTGGTTGCATCTCAGAAACAATGAACGTGTTGAAGAACTTGTACACCAAAACACGCCAGGGCATATGGGCCTGAACGGAGCAACACAAAGCACTTCCTGGACAGGCAAGGCGAAGGAAGCCCAAAGGTGCCCACGCCAGTGCCAAGGAGCGAGCAACTGATTTCAACTTGTAGTTGATGAAAATCTGCCTCTGCTAACGATAACAGTCTTGTTGATGGATGCTTGTCGAAGGGGTCTTGCAAGACATGAGGTCAACAAGCTCCGGTAGTTTCGGGAATCAGTGGGCAGCTGCGCGACCCTTGCTCACTTGGTGCCATAAAAACCCATAAAACAGGACTGCGCACGGCATCATGTTCACAAAGCCAAATGTGTAGGCGAAATCCGCCTGGAGTGGTATGCCGGTTCTCAGACTTGGCAGTGCTGGCTGCATAACACGAAACGCAGTGCAAGAAGCGGACCATGCTGGAAATCACCCAGCTCCACCAGTTTTTGTAGGAGTAGTGGTATAGGCTGTACCTCGAGTGATGCGTTTTCGCAGGCAGCCAGCACCACAAGATGTGATTGACTTGTCCGTACTTTTTGTTCGCCTGGGCCCCAGTGCCCACCCCCCTATCCTGCCCACCCATTCCCCCATTTCCCCCCTTCCTTCCTCTGCCCACAGGCTTCAAGCAGGTGAACCGCGAAGAAACAGCCGAGCAACTCTCTTCACTTGCAGCCAGGCCGAGGCTCACAATTACTCCATCTCTTTGTCTTTGGTCTGCTCTGAAACGAAGCCAAGAGGCAGACCCCAACCTGCTGAAAGCGGATACAAAACGTACTTGAGGTAGCGCATGCCCCTGCACGCAAGTGCATGCACCGCAAAATTCGGTGCAGCATGCACTCGGGAGCTTTGCTGCCTCTCATCTGCCTCCTCTGTTAAAGTCTCATCAGCCTCAACACACAAGATTCTCCCGAGTCGCAGCTCCTGCTGAACCCACCAACGCAAAATTATGGAATTTTGAGGCCAGCCTGCGAATCTGACAATGCCGGCGAACTGGCAGTGCAACGGCCGTAAGTAGCCCAGGGCAAGAAATACAGCCTGAGACGCCGGTGCCGCACAGCAAAACAGAGGGCGCCAGGACAGCATGTGAAACGATGCCAGTGCGAGTGGCAATGGTACTTCCCACTGTCGTGGCTGCTGATTCATGCAGAAATGCGCACTGCCACTGCTTCTGATTCTGGGCATTTCAGAAGCTCCTTCATGTTTCTTACTCTTTCTTCCATGCACAAGTCTCCAGACCATGGAAAAAAGCCAGGCCCTTGCGGTTCTGAATTTCTGAATGCCAACCCTAAGCTGAATCCCGGTTTCCTCTGGGTCCTCCACCCAATCTCTGTCAATGTGATCGTTGTTGCTCCCTTAACCGGACCATGCTGGAGTGCCTAAGGCACTCCGACATCCATATTTGTTGGCTGAAGCCTCTGCTGAGCTGATCATACTCCCTCTTCAAGACTTCTGTCGCTGCCGCTATCCTGTTGCTCCTGCGGCCGTTTCCGCCACTCTGCTGGTTATCAGTTTTAAATGTCGACGACTGGCTGCGAACACAAAACAGTGTCCTCACCAAGAATGCATGACAGAAAGGTCCAGTCAAACACGATGCTCCTGTGATTGCAGCAACAATATATCCCAATAATAAGTCCATGAAGACACGACCGTGAGATCATGCAGCACATGATGTAACACTCGAAGGCTACATCGTGCAGCAAGGTGCGCCGGGGTGAAAACCGTAGTGATAAATATTTGTCGTGCAGCATTTTAATTTGCACGCGTGCTGTGTGTGCGTGTGACATGCGTTCCGGGGGGCCACTTCCCATTGCAGCGTGCTTGCACCATGCTTGTCAGCATCAAAGACACGATGATCGCTTCATGCAAGGATTACGATTTCGCGAACTCTCCCGAGAGCTGGGGCAGGTTTTGGAAGCAGTACAAGTTCCCAACTGCCGGCGTATGCCAGAAGGCCACTGAAGCGCAGACGGCAGGGCAGGAGGGACCAACATCTCCCGGACACCTGGAGCCGGGGTGACTATGAGCCTGTGGTACTTCGTGATCTGCAGCTTTGGCTACAGATGTGAACACCGAGCGTCGGCCTGGCACTGACCCGGACTCAGACTCCGCGGATGCGTCTGATTTGATACCGGGCTCACCAATACCACACAAAGCCCTACCCGACTGGGCAGCATGTTCGTGCCGCAGACACTGGCACTTCTGCAGCCCTACCCTCGCGCCCCGTTAAGACTCTGCTACTGAAATGCCCCTCGTTCACAGCCGGAGGCCGGAGGCCTGCTATTGGAGGAGATTGCTGAGACACTGGGGCCTCTTGACTTGTACTTGCCACCGCGTGCCCTGCGCAGCACTATCACTACTGGCACCCTGAGAACAAGTCATCTTACACAACCGCGGAATCTGTTTGTCAATTTCGTGGTTTTCTGGTACGTATAGAAGCCGGCCACCGGAAGGTGCGGCTGTCACATGCTGTCACTGTTGCTGAAGAAAAACTCGAGGCGACTCCAAGATCCGGCACTTCACCACCCCTCTCAACATGACACGAGTGATCTCCTCTCAGTTTGGGACCACGTTGTCCCAAGTCGTGCTACACCTTGGTCGCTCCCAACTCAAGAACGCCAGTGATGATCGATTCAGGCACTGCAAATGCGTGGCTCTGCAAGCAATGATCTTGGAGGGGTGCGGGCATATTTCCAGAAGCTGATCGCAGCAGACCTGGGCCGGGGCATTGCAATTTGCACGGGCGCAACACCAGCGGCCAAACACCCACGTCTGCCCTGCGCCATCATGACGCGTGCGAGCACGAGCCATTGATTCGGCATGCTTGACAAAGTGCTATGCCCCCCCACCCCCCACCCTCTCCTGTGAGCCACATCCAGACAGAAGAGCACTACAGGATCTCCAAAATCAAGAATGGGTCCTGCAAGGTGGCCGTCACAAAGCTGCTGGCCGACGCTAGACTCTGCCCCATTGACCTTCTAGCGAAGGGCGCGTGCTGGTGCCTGTGGGCGCCATTGTGCAAGCTGGGGCAGCTAGGAAGGTTGCGCGGACCCCTGACTCCCAGCCGTGGACCCGCCCTCCCTCAATGGCACCTCCATGGACGAAATCCAGGCATCACCGCGCTGTGCTTCATGCGCGACATGCAAAAAGCCCGACGGGTAAGGAAATGCTCGTGCGTGCCGCTGCAATGCTAGCTGTCGTAGTGCACTCCCTGCTTCCGCCCCATCCCCCCTGTCCATCGCCCCACGATGACTAACACGCTGAAAGCCGGCGCATGCAGGCAAAGGTACTCATACCGGCGCAAGAGAAACGCAACTGCAGAGCGTGCCACTTCAATCAGCTGAGCACAAGGACACTCCAATTTGGAGCAACACTAATCGTGAGATGGTGTCGAAGTCATAGAGATACAAGAATATCACGATCTCCTGCCAGCTTGACCAGATGACATGGCGACAGCGTGATATTGGCAAAACTTGAACCGAACTCCTGCACGACGTCAGTCGCAAGGGATCGACTGGACAGGCCGGTGTAGTCAGAGCCTCGTTCAAGGCGATTCGCTATGAACTATCGGGCGGTCGTTCAATCGGGTCTGCTGCGTCCTTTGAAGAACGTGATCTCGTTCTTAAACGCGAGCCTGTACCCGGGAACTGTTCACGTCTGGATGTCCCATGAATATCGCAGTGAACCCGTGTGCGAGGTCATGAGGTCTGTCGTTGCTCGACATGAAAAGGCTTAGCAACGGGGCCCTGTGGATCACTTATGTTCACTTGAGCAGTTTGCTGAGAAGAGCAAGAGGTGTTTAACAGACACTCACCATGCAAGCATTTCCGGAGAAGCGCTCGAAGCAATCTCACCTCAAATCTCACCGACAGACAACTGAAACTGCGCGACCTTCTGCAATGGACAAAGGTATGGATGTGGCAAGATGTTGTGCGCTGCATGCGCTGCGTGTCACTGCGCATTTCTGCAGCAAGTTGTCCAAACGCTTTTTGGTGCTCGCGGGGTTCGCTAGGTTTTCTCATCAATTTACCACACCTCGAAGAGACAGAACCCGAACCTCGAGATTCACAGGGTGTGACGAACTGGGAGAGACGACATGCACCTAGATTAGCATGCAGCTCAGCCGTTGCATTTCATCGCCCTAACTAAACTGTCCGACCCATCCTCAAACCCGTCACCGGAAAACTCGAGATGTAGGCCAAAACGGCCCTCCGTGGCAACGCGGTTCCGGCCAACCAACCACGGGTCAGGGGGGGAGCTCACCTTTCGGCGAATATTCCACATCACGATCACGTATATTGGGCAGCTTGCATAAGTCATAAGTATACTGCATTGACGGCAAAATCCTCGCACGGGGAAAGCATTCGGGCGACCCAGCACCTTCCTTGAAGCCTCAACTAGTGATGAACATGCCATGCTTGTGCACTCAGTCGGCGCGGCTCTCATATGACGTCACGTAGGGCCGATGGTACTACCTCTCGCGGTGGCAAGATGCTTGAAGTTCGCGGCATTTGGCGCAACTGTCTGCATTCTTGAATCATAGTCGCCGCATGTCCCTGCATGTCCTTTCCAGAACATAGGCTCACTCTCTGAACGACACCGTAAAGAACATCAACCACAGCAAAGACTAAGTGGGACACATTCGCAAAGCTGTCTGCAGGACTCCGATGACCTGCGTCTCAGAATCTGTGCCATTCACAGCGATGCCACCAGACCTGATGGGCAATCAGGATGTGCACTGGCTGTCGAAAAAGGAGCTCCTGGCTTGCAGCAACACCCTTTGCCGCTCCACACCGATCATCGCTCTTGCTACAGATCTGGTCCTTCAAGTCCTCGAGGTCACGCTCTCGAATGCCGATCTGCAGGTACCTCCACTTCCCCTGCCTGCCCGAGCCCTGAATGTTCTGGACAGTCACTCGTGAACTTATACAAACTGGTTGCCAGGGCACATCTTCATAGCCTCCCGAAATGTTTGTACGATGCTGAACTTGAGCATGCCTGTGAACTCCACCTGCTGGATGTCCCCCGTCAGCGTGGTGTAATGCTTCAGCAACATCAAGCAGGGGACCCGTGGAGAAACACCAAAGACCATGGAAGCGGACTACAGCCTCCTAGTGACGTCCAATGCTTTCGAGATGACAACTACAATGTACAAATCCGGACAATGACATGTTGTGTGTCCCACTCCATGAGACATTAATGAGACCAGCGGTCGCTGCGCATGCCAACCGTGCATAGACGACTCCTCAATGCCGACATGTCTGCCTGAATGATGATGATATCACTCAGCTACAGATACTAAAACGACAAGCAAGCGATGCAACGAGGCTGCCTCAACTGTCATCTCCGGATCAGGCCTGTTCGGGTCGCTTCAATTTCTCTCCGCGCATTCAACAGGTAGTGAGTAGAATCCAGATGTCACCTCGAGACGTTGTGATCCACTGCTGTCCAGGATTTCGAAGAGAAACCTAGCAAACTCACGGCTCATGCTGGCCGCAGCGGGTTGCCTTTCCTTTCAGCCTCGTTTGTCTTCTTCTGCACAGCCAAAGGAGAGCAAGGGCGCTCTCCTCGCGCGCGAACGCGCCCTGGTTGTTGTTGGTCTGTGTAAGACTTCACTACACGATGAGGCCGTGTTTGAGAACTATTGGTCCCCCCTACACCTATGTTGACCCCCGGCCTCATCACAGCCTGCTGCAGGCTCTGTACGCCAACACGCAGCTTATTGCTGCTTTCGCAACTCTCAGCTGAGCTGGACGGCTCCCCCCGAAACACACTTGCAGAAGTGAACACCTATGCAACTGAGTATCATCGTCCTCCCTTGCTCTCGTTGCTGTTGGCTGGTTCCGTGAAACTGCACAACACTCTGAGGCCCCGGCAACTACCCAACTTCAACACTGCACAGCGACTGCCCCCTACTACATCAGTAAAAATATGCCCCCACTGCGACTGTTGCCGGCCTCCTACTTGCTTCCCTCAGCAGGCTGCACTGGACAAGGACATGCTCTTGCTTGACCCTTTACTCGCAACTGTACGGGAACAACCGAGGCACTGGAAGCCCCAACGCGACTAGTGTTACATGTCCCCCCCTCGTGCTGCGTGCATTCGCCTACGCCGGTGCTCTCGCTCACCTGCGTCCCCCTCAGTAGGACTCGTTCCCCACGGGCTGGCTTCTCTCTGTGCTTCTGCTGCAAGTGCTTCTTCCTGCTCCCTCTCAAACTCTTCCATGGCCTGGATCAAGTCGTCGTCCGTTGGCTCTGCTTCCCCCGGCGGTTGCGGGCCCCCGGTGTCTTCATCCCCCGAGCTGGGAATGCTGCCGGACCACTGTGGGGCCCCCAGCTGCGGCCTCCAGGCTGTTCCTTCTTCTTGTGGCTCAAGCGGCGGCCCCCCTCCAAAGATGGACTGCTGTGGAACCCCGTCGCCTTCTTCTGTCGTCTGGGTGTCCACGTTCACCGGCTGGCCCCCTCGTGAGTGTTGCCAGCTAACAAAGAGCGACAAGAGCCCCCTGACCTCCGCGTAGCCCTCGGTGATGAACCCCATGCTGTTCCGCACGTCTTCCAGCACCGCTTCTAGTCTTTGCGGCCCCCCCTCTGGTCTCACCGGAGCTTCTTCTGCTCCCTCTTGAAGTGCAAGGACGTCCGCTGCGTGCGCAAAGCCCGTCTGGTCCAGGTCGTCAAGGAGGAGCACTGCGTCTTCAAGCACTGCTGTGACCGCTTGCCCCCAGCCCGCGACCAACCAGTCCAGGTTCCCTTCTGTGGTGGCGGCCATCGCTGCATGGACCGCATTGCACGCTTGCGCAAGCCCCCCTGCTCCAAGAAGCACTTGTTGGCCCCCTTGCTGCTCCGAGGCCTGCCTGTACTTCTGCTCCCCCGCGTGCAGGTTGTCCCGAATCATCTTCAGGTCGGCGTAGATCTGGTGCTGGTTGGGCGCATCTTGCCCGTCCTCCTCGCACATGGCCTCAATAGCCAGAGCTGCTTCCCGTAGTGGGCTGCTGGGGCGTCGGCGCTTTGTACCACGTCCAGCGTTGCTTCGAAGCGTTAGTCCCCCATTGGCCCCCGATGAGGTCACTATCGCCAGGGTCTGCTCCACCGCGTCGGCCATGGCTGTCGGGAGTCCCGTTTGTCTCTCTCTCTCTCTCTCTCTGTCTCTGCCGTTGGTTCAGCCTCGATTGCATTGCATACTCCACAGGTTTGTGAACTCATCTGTGTCGTCAACATCCACACTATTCCCAACAACCCCGACGAACACTACTCGGTGATTCGGTCCTGGTGATGTCAGTAGTTTAGCACTGCTTTCGTCTTGGCCTTGTGTCTCCTGATCAACTGGGCCTCTTAGAGGACAGCTAGCCTGCCCAGCCTTTGCTGAAGACACTGAGACTACGCGAGATCCGTGCCGTGCCAACGTCATCTTAGACCCCCACGCTGTACCAGTAGAGCGCACCAGCACGTCACAGTGCCAGCAGCATGAATCTTGCATTGCATGAATCTTGCATTGCAAGCTTCTGTAGTCTGAGCTAAAGAAGCCGCAAGTGGCACATCCTCAACAGTTCAGTCTTCAAGCCACATCGCAGGTAGAAGCGGAACCCACCTGACCCAGTCGAGATCGAAGCTGGGCCGAAACAGGGTATGGAGTAAGAGAACGGGCGGCTTCGAGATCAATGATAGAAGCCTCCCTGGCGAAGTGAATCGTCGTAACCCTGCCAGCTACGATCGGCAGTGGCCTCATCCAAGGCGCCGCCAAAACTCCAGGCCCGATTAGACATTTTGGAATGTCATTCAAGGACCATTGGCTGTTAGATATTCGCTGCTACGTGCTTCGGGCGTTTGCCCCCATATGCAGAAGCACTTCCTGCTCCATTTTCATCCGACGCCGAGGTGAGCTCAGGCCAGGCATTCCGGTCGGCATTGAGCTTCCAAAACCGCAATGAGGGAGAGAGCCGACCGGCAACAAGCGACAATAGAACACCAACGCACGGGCACCATCGAATCAGCCGCATCAAATCCGGCTACCGACAGCTGCTTGTCTGCTTTTGTTCTCTTCCAGAAGCTACAGTAACAGCTACACGCGATTGATATTCACGGAACACTGCCTCGCTCGGCTGCATTGACTGCGCCCATTGCACCCATTTACACTGCATCATGTCTCAGGCAGCAACTCGCCGTGTCAATGTAGAAAGGTGGGGCATAGTGTGGTCCTTCAGCATGCCTGCAAACAGAGACGCTGGAAATGCCTTCGCAACAGGATATGTAGGCCTCGGTGCCAACACCGTGTATCGCACCTTGGTAGCTTTGGTACTGTCACCCCCAGTGAAGAAACACCAGCCGAGCGGACATCACGTTCTCGCAACCCATTTTCAACGTGAAGCTCCTGGCGGGTGAAAAGCAAATCTGCACATGAGCTCGCAACCCTGCATACAGGCGGAAGACACCAGCAGCCCCGCTCTTAAACGACCTTGTACAGGAGTGGCGGTGGATGCCTTCCATCGTAAACCTTCGAGGTGCATGGACGCAGATGCGCGCAGGTTGTTGCTGTACATCTGTGATGGCATGCCTCAAAGTCAGCTGCCAGTTCCTCGGCCCAAGAGAACAGAGAGAACTGTTACAAGAACCACATCAAAAAAACTGCCTCCCACAGGGTGAGGCCCCAGCAATACGAAAAACCGGCACCAGGTGCGGCAGGATTGGAGCTGGGGTAAACTCAGAGCACATGTATGAGCACGAGTCGTGTCACATGCCTCTGCAAGTTTCAACTGAGGAGAATTAAGGTCTGTTCGAACTGAAAGGCATCACGTGCGGCTACTTTCCCAGACTTTGCCTGCCAAGCATTAGCATCTGATGTCCATCACTCCCCGCGCCCACATGACAACATGCGGCTCTCGGTGACCTCGCCCATCGAAAGCTGAAGCAGAAAGGGCACCACAATTGCGAGCAGACCTGCAGTGCCGCAGTTTCAAAACACATGGCACCCTCCCGAATGCGAAACCTGAATGCCATCCAAGTGTCCATGTCGCACTCCCGCCAGAGCCAGCGTAGGCCTCAAGCAAAGACTGACCAGGCACGAAATCCAGCACTGCGAAAAGATGCTTGAAAAGACTGCAATCCGTCCAAGTTGTAAGCTCAAAGAAGTAGGACACCACGAAAAGGGATACTGCCTTGCCGCATACTGCACGGCTGACCACACAGTCGCGCGAGCATGCGTGCATGTTCAGAAACCAGAAACCAGGCACGGGAACAGCATCCGGAATCGGAGAGCTGAAACGACTCAATTTACTTCGTAGTCATACTGAGTCAAGCTGAGGCCAGTACCCAGGAAGCACAGCTTCTTGGATAAATCAGAAAGTTCCAGCCTTGCTACAAGCTGAGATGCTTGCTCGACAACTAAAGTAGCAGTCAGCCCACTGCCGACCTAAGCTCTCTGAAACCTTTACCCTTATTCGAGAAGCACTCCGTGCTCATCGATCCGTCCACCACCAACAGCGTGCGCAAACGACAGCAGCATGTGCACACTGTGTTTCATTCCCAGTGAGATAGCCTGGTGTTTCGGGTAATGTTGAAGATGGTTCAGCCAGCTTAGCATCTTCCACACTTTGGAGCATTAAGTAGCTGGCCTGGAATCAAAGTCACCTCGATCGCATTCCTTGGATGAAATACAACTCGCCGTAGGGCATTCATGGCACTTGGTGAGACCATGACAATGCCACAAGCCAGCGTTAGGCGTGCTTTAACCCAATCATGAAGCTTTCTCTGGCTAGGTGTCGATCATTGGTGTGAGAACTCACGGGAAAAGCCGAAGTTCGTAGAGAAGCTGCGGGGGTCCAGGGTTTCTTAGACGTTCGGTATCTTCGTCTGTGCCCATGTATGAGGGCCGAGCACAGCATTGAGCCCTTTCCTTCCCAATTAAGCACTCGCTCCGCTATGTCCACTGGCAGCTATTGACTGTTGAGCTGGCTTAATTGCTCGCATACTTCTGGATATGGTTGCACGCCGCTTTTACGATAACCTGTTCTATCGGGTCGCCAGGTTACCTCCTCGCTTCCGGGTTTGCTCGCGATCATCCATGAAGCCAGCGACCTTTCCTCTACTTCCACATCTTGCGCGATACGTATTCAAATAGAGTTTCTAATTGATCATTCATCCGTGGACCTGCCCATCATGACTTTCCCAGGAAGCGCAAACTTCTCACCAGAAACACTTATGACACGATGCGAGCACATTACGCCTGAAATCATTTCAATGCTTATCCTCGCCGGTATGACCCGCAGGACTGATGATGTATATGTATAAACCTGTATATGATGTATGGTGAGCGGCTACCAAAGTCACGTCATGATTCTCAGGAGGGGTGACCTGAGCCTTAGTGATTGGCTCACGCTTGCTCTGTCTTTTGGGTGATATCACTTGGGGCATCTCCCTTTCGGCCCACGGATGACACTTTGCCCAGTCACCATCCGCATCCGTATTGGCTACGAAGATAACCAGCTGAGCCCTGGGCTCCGCAGCACTGTCGTCGTTGTGCTGTGCCTGACCACGAGCAGCAACACAAACAAGCCATGCAAGCCTCTACTCCTGGCTTCCAAATCAGACTGCTTATGGCTTTCGGCTCCCTGCCAGCAGATTCCGCCGACTACGTTGAACCTGGATTGGCTGAGCAAGGTCGCTGAGAATCGGGTTACTTCTAAGCTCAGGCCTGTGGTAGATGCTTCACAATCTGGGCTGTCGTATGCAACCTCGGGCCATCCGGAACGAGCACTTCGACCTCCGAACGACATCTGAGACCAGCTCCCGTGCTCGCTGATGACGCCAGGTAATCCGGGATGCGGCCTGGAATCGACCCAACGTGAAGTGAAGAACGCCTTGGCTTTGGGACTTGGGGGACAGGCCCGGTGCGAACCTCATCTGCCAGCCTTTCAGGATGCTAAGAACCGACCGGCGCTTCTCTTGTACCATACGTGAGGAGTTGCGACTGCTGTCGTTGACAACGGGGATTCCCCAAAATCACCGAGAGATTCGCTGAGTGCTATTCGTGCTACACTTGTGGTGTTCGAACATCATCTTTCAGCCGCAAGTTCAAAACTAGCACGGCTACAGCAGGTGCATATCTCAGCAGAATTGATCAAGACCTTTCCTGGCACCAGCTCTGACGACGAAGCAATGGACATACAGCATTGACTCGTTGCGTCGAACCTAGGGTTTTGCACATCACGGCACCGGCAAAATCAGATTTGATCAAGACGTTGCCGAGGCCTGGGCTCCTTGAAGAAGTTGACTTGAAAGCGGCAGTGTCGTCCTGCTAAGCCCACAACAACATGCAGGGACGCTCTTTCCGTCAACATGCAATCATGACCTAAGCTGCGAAGATTCGCCGAATGGCACCTCAAGAAACGGAATCTGAAACTGTCCGCGCGGAGCATGTGAAAGCCTGGTGCCTGAGGCGGTGGCTGTTGCGTTGAACACGTGCACCAGTTGCTCAAAGCCTCCGCGCATTCAATGCCAACCCAGAGATATGAAGTATCGTGCCGGCATATGCATGGGGTCTTGCTCGATTAGGATGCAATAGGATACCAGCAAAAGCTTCACAGCAGCGAGTTCCTGTCTGAGAGAAGATAGCTCAGCAGCGAAGCCCCCTCTACTCAATCAACTCGGTAGAGCTCAGAAGGAAGTAGCCTCGCGGATTGGCTAAGGCGGCGCGAAGCTAAGAGCCGTAGCAAGAAGGCCAAATCCAGAAGCGGCCCCAGAAAGATGCCCAATGCAAGGCCGAGGACCAAAGAAGGGAAATGGAGCACGGCTGACTCAGATGGTGAAGAGGGAAGAAAAGAAAGCTCCGGTGGAGAAAGAGGAACCCTGAACTCAACTCCCTCAAAATCTGAAAACACAGCCCAGCAAGCCCTCCGGAAGCAAGCCCCCGCAACTATGGGCAGAGGTCGCATTCACTCGAGAAGAATCTGCGGCACCGCCGTAAACATGCGTGCAAAGTGCCCCTAAAAATTGAACTGCGAGGAGGGAGAGTGACGGTGTAAGGGCGTATCGGCGCAAAGGGCCGGGTGTCGGTGTATATCGGTCTATCGGCGCACATCTCCTCGCAGCCACTGATTGCGACAGTAATCAATTTGCAGGCTTGCAGGCATCTATGCTTCTGTGGCACCTCAGGATGCCCTGCGTCTGTTTCGGCACCCAGCGCCAACCGTTAGGCTTGAAGCTTCACTAATAAGGTACTTGCAGGTTACTGGTGTGAGTAGTCAACTCTGGTCTTTGACAGCTGCCAAGCGCCAAATTCGAGGGTTTTGCCTTCGTCAGTCCACCACTGCAGCGCTTTTTCCGTTGTGACAAAAGCCTCAGATGCGATAGGCACGGCGGCAACGGCAAGTCTCGACTTTGGCGATGAGTAAGGTCTTCACGGAGATGTTCACCAACTCACGCTCGTGAAAGAGAGGGCCTGTGAAGTACGTTTGCTTCCAAGCGAGTACTGACCCGAACTACTCTTAACATGCCGGTGCAACGGTAGCAAGGTTGCTTGACAAGGTCCATCGGACACCGAGGAGCATGAAACCTGAACATGTATGGGCATGCATAGCATCCAACATGCAAGCCTTGGCTTGTTTCTGAAAGCCCACGCAGCTTGAAGTTGCACACCGACGATAAGCAGGTACCTGAGAAAGCTCAATGCCTAGATTCAATCCGCACTCCCTCGTTCTGACTTCGCGCACCATGCACCCACTATCTGAAAGGCACGCCATAGCATTCCCATTTTTTGAGCTACGGTGTTACAGCTACCTGCGTTCACTCCCAAGGTCAAGCTGCACACAAGTTCGGCTGGTGAGAAGTTAGAGGCCCAGCTGATCCACAGCCTTCTGTTCTTCGCCATGTGAACTGACGGATCTGTCTGCTTGAGAGCGGGCGGGGCGAACGCGCATCACAGCAGCAAATGAGAGAAACTGCATCCCAGATCCGCAGAAGCATTTTTGGGGTACGTGGAGAGCCTTTGTCGACTTGCAACGGCACCACCCTAGCAGTGAGCTCCACCCCGCAGTCCTCTGCCCGGCCAAGCCCCATCCCACGAGAGTTATCGTTCCACGCGCATCTCAATGCATCACCGGCCTTGCCATGCGTGTGCAGAGCAGCACAGTGGTCAATGCAGCACACAGTGCCTCCCAGAGACCTGTCCTCCCAGACAGCAAGCATTCCCGCAGACTAAATAGCAAAGATCGAAACAGTTTTCCGCAATCCGGGCTTTGGCAAGAGTCGCGGGAGCCAGCCGACTTCAGCCGACATTGACTTTGAAAATTCCTCCCGCTCCTGGGAAGCTCAAAGCTTAAGAGTCCTTGCCAGGCTTTGCACCTGCCATGCGCGAGGTCGGCATGCTGAGTCGCAGGGTTGAGGGAATGGGAGGTTGCGAGACTGAAGGCTTGGTTCTCACAGAAGGTCTTCTTGTTTGGCTAATGGGCACGTGACCCTCGCGTGAACTCGAGCGAGCCAATGCACATCTTCACAACACCCTAAATAGCTGTACAGAATCGGCCAGCACTGCCACCATCAGCCCGAGCTGCTGGTAGCAAATTGATGCAGGCTCATGGTGGCTTGGCTGCCCTCTTGACGCTGGAAGCCTCCAGGCATTGCATCGAAAGCTGAGCGACACGGACAGCTACTCCTCCGGCCTTCGCAGCAGCGCCTCGCCCGAGGAAACCGGAACGAGTCAACAGCTTCTTTGCAGTAGGTCGGTGGAGTCCATCCCAGACGAGGCAAACCTACGCATCGGGAATATGCCAACTCACACACAGGAGCTGCACTGTTGTGCATGTGCTATCGACCACCTCAAGGAAATCTCGAAGCAAGTTCGCCTCGTCATCAGTCTTGGATCCTTTGTTTCAGCAGGCTCGCAGCCACACACAGCTCAGTGTGTTCCGCAATATCTTCAACAAGGTTTGAAGCGGCTTAGGGTTTGACCGAAAACATGGCCAAGCCCAAACCTGCGAACATACAGTTGCAGCGTGCTTGCCCGCATCTCAAGCTTTTCTTCTTACAGTTCTGTTTGGTTCCTGCTGAGCGTGCAACTGAACGGGTCGTAGCGCTTCCATATCAGCATTCTGGTTTTGTCGAAGAGGCAAATGTCCACGAACTGTCGTGAATGCTGGAGTGAAATTCCTGAAGACAAGATTCTGACGGAGACATTCGGTGAGGCAGCGTACTCCTATTTTAGTCCAAATCAAGCACAGGCATTGTCAGTCCTGTTCAAAGTCAAAGGACTCTTCCTCAGTTTCGAGCAGGTCAGGCCAGCTGCCCGTTCCACTGAAGGCAAGTCTCGCAATACCAGTATCTCAGCACATGCACTGCAGAAAATCTGCCGGCGCAAGCTGGCACTGAAACTTGCAAAAGCAATCAAGAATTCCTGAACCACACAGGGGACCTATCCGATTGCTGACCCTCGCTGCCACAGGCCCAAACCGCTGCACCTTCTGGGTTTTTTGGGGCGTTTTGGAAACCGTTGAGCCGCCAAGCCAATGTACGCTTCCGATCTTGGCTTGAGATTTTGCCTGTACCCGTTGTTCTGCAATTGGAACTAAGTGACTGCCAGAATTCATGCACTATACTTCCCTGAACTGCGACCAGGCCGCCGCAGGAAGGAGGACGGGATTCCTTCGGGCATGTTGCATAATCCCAGTGCCTGTGCTATCGATACCTCGCAGGGCACCGAAAACAACTCCACAAGAGAGGATAGCACTAACTCGCAAGCCAGTGCAAACAGTCTTGGCTAACAGTGTAATACTGCCTGTACAGCTTCACGGTCGCAGCACAACACCAAGCTTGAGGGACCTCACTCATTGTATCAAGTGGCCAGAGCAGAGTGGAAGCTCACGTGGCCTTCATGCACCGGGCAGACACAGCTTGCGTCCCGCACGTCTGGAGTACAGCTCGGTTAGAACGACGGCCAAGCTCCAAACATCACTGCCTCGAGGTGCAGACCATTGCAGCTGCAAGATAGCTACTCTTGGTGCAACATGTAAGTAGGACTCGTACTATGTGTCACCGGCAATCCCAAAGCCATCTCAGGAGAGCAATATGCACCTGAGAGATCCATGCCGACAGTCGAAGTGGTTCAAGATTCACTGCTCAAACAGCAAAGACTGTAAGACCAGTACGGCAGCCAATACCGCCTTCTCTCGCATTCCAATTCTGTCCTGGACTCTGCCGGTTGTCAAGACCTGCCCACGCGCCGAGCAAAGGCTCATATATCTGTTACGCTTTCCGGTCAGTCCCTGACGAGCGCAGTTGAAGTCAATGATGCGAACGGTCGAGGTTCCTGATGGGCCCTGATTCAACATGCATACACGCAAAGAACACGTCATCAACGCAAGGGCATCCTGCGCCTCGACCCAGACAATATTGTCGGGCTTCAAGTCCTGAAAGCCACCGCGGCAAGGAGAAGACACGAAGCGCGAAAGCTGTTTCAGCCGGGCAGCATTATGTACAATTCCTGCTTCTTCTAACAAGGCCAGCCCGCCAAGCACACCTCTCGCAACCAGCTTCAAGCGCGGCACCTCAACTCGAAAGGATGCTGACGCGTACCGCGAGCTGTCGGACACGGACACACCCCGCATGTAGCACCTTCTCAAAAAAAGACGGATCAACAGCGCTCCTTAGTTAGGTTCACAAATTCCGACCGCAAGACGGTGATTGATGATGCAGCTTGAAACTGAAACATTGTAACACGGCTGGTGACAGCGGATGGTGACGTCGACTCGCACTGCATCAAAAATGCAGCTCAGATTCTTGACCTGCAAATCCAGCCCTTCAACCAGCGACTCCACCGTCCAGCCAAGGCCATCAAAGAATGCCTGACGGACGGTGCGTAAAATTGTGCTGTCAACGGAAGTAATACCACCCGTGGGCTGCTCATATGTGTATGCCGGTCTTCACATCAGCACCAGACGTTGGCGTATGGAATGTGTAGGATATGTCTCGTTATTGCCTTTCGACAGTGTTTACGCAGGAGGTGGTGCACATGTTAAAACTGCAGTCACATAGTGTCAAAGACGATATGCGGAGTAGTTCACGAGTTCGTCAAAATTTTCTTGCTGCTGCCTCAAATGATATAAGCTGTAGCTTGCCGGTCCATGTCAGAGTCCATGTCGACCGAACTGTTCAAAACCGCCGAGCCCGACAAGTTGCCATGCCCGCATTTCCGAATCCGACTGCGGAGGCTGCCCGTGCAATAAACATACAATTTCTGATGGGTTTCCAAGGAGGATTGGGCAAAAGCATGTGACATCACTTGATCCTCGCCAAACTGCGCCCTGACCAGAATAGCATAGCGCCAAGCTTGAAGTTGATATTGTGCGACATTATGCGCACGACACGGTCGCAATGCAGACCATCCAGACGTGATGCTTACAGAGAGAGAGAGAGAGAGAGAGAGAGAGGTCGACCCTGGCCAGGGGACGGGCACCCACGCTGTCTCCACCCGCTAGGGTTAAGACGCAAGCGGGGCACAGTGCTCCGTAAACGTCATGGCACCATGTGGGGCAAGCAAACCAGCAGCACTTGCAGCATACAGAATCATCAACAACCACACCGTCACCAGCATCATCCATGTCAACGTCTTCCATGACAAATATCTTGAAATTCATGTTCCGCAGAATTACTGCGAGGTAGCACCTGGTGCACAAGCGCGCTGAGGTACAGTACCCCCAAACGAAGGCTGCGACGTTTTTTGCTGTGTGGGAACTCAGTCATGGATTAGACCGGAGCTTAAAGCATGAGTTCGTTGAACCATGATTGTTGCCGCAGCTGCACGCACCGCAAAGATAGTACTGCTCTGCAGAAGCATTATTCTGGCGACACACATCGCAACGAGTATATGCCTTTGAGACACGTGGAACGGTAACGATGGCTTAGTATTCATCCTGGGTATGCCAGATGGGGCTAAACTAGCACGAGAAACACCCCCGAACGAAGCCAAGCTTACAAGAAGGAGGTAAGCTGAGTAGACAGTGGGCTCCCAGGACGCAATGCCACGATGTAGGAAACGGAGCTGCGGAGGAACACCATGGTGCAAGAACTGCTGGGAGGGAAGGGTCAGGCCGAGCAGGGGGAAGGGACAGGTCGTGTACTTCACATCCTTACCTACAGTCGTCCTGAAAGGGGAGCATGTAGAAATTGCCCATGACACATGACAACACATGGAAACCACTTTCATGAGAAAAAATCGCGAAGAAGCTATCGTCACAAGCCAGACTACAAGGATGCCAGAGCGCAGCAAATTCAGTCAGAATCGCAGGTTTGCCACAGGAAGAAGTGAGTCTGACGACGTCAACAGGCAAAACATTACAATAAAAACAAGATCGTCAGATAATTCGGCATATACAACTTCCACAGGCAAACCCCGGAGACGAAACCGTGCGGCCAGTGCCGAGGGAGCTATGCTCCAGGCACAAAGGGCTCGCACGGAGGCGACCCAAGGTCAAGAGAGGGAGCAGCGTTGCTCCAGCGTCGAGGGCGAAGACGGAACCGAACAGAAAAGACTGCCACTTGATGATAATGATAAGCTATGGCAAGAACAGGATCTGATCAAGAAGCAGCAGTTACATCAACACATGTGTTCGAGTTGCAATTTCCGCACCTAGACAATGGCAAACTCACTTGAATAGGAATGCGTCACAAGTGCATATACAAATAGGCATGGCCAATTGCTAGGGCCTAAGGGTTTCCCAAGGCCATAGGGAAGCCGAAGCCAACCGGAGAGCCAAGCTCGAGCACCTTACACCAGAGGCAAAAGGTCAGAATACATCAATTTTCTCGTCCGCAGCCTTGCCTGACCGCAGTCCAACAAGCGACTCTGTTTGTTGACACTCACACATGTCACTGAGGGAACAGAAGAACATGTACAGTACATGCTGTACGACCGCCTTCATCAATAAGTACAATGTAGCAACTGGGGGTATGAGTGTGTCTAGGAACTTGCACCAAAGCCAGCCATGTCTTCGTGGCGCTAGGAAGTGCCTGTGTATTAAGCACCTGCCATGATGATGCCGGTAGTAGGTGATTAACCCAGTGCCACACTGGTTACTGCAGTCCAACCAGTGCATGAACGCAAATAATATCCGGCACTTTCGCCCTAGTGCCACCAGGCGGGGGAAAGGTGGGTGGAACTATGGCAGCATAGCACCGTCGTCACTCTTACAACACGGTGGGCCATGACTTAACTGGAAAACCCTTCGGACCATCGCGGCTCCTAAGGACGGCAGTTTCAGGCTGGGGGGCCCTCGCAGAAACCTCTCTCCGTCCCTGTCCGTTCTCTTCTCGATAAGTCGAACTTTCAAGGGGTCGGCGCCTCGAGAAGTCTGGGAAAAGCAGAACCTTCAGGATCCGCCTGCAGTGAACGACATCTATACAGAAATCCACTGCACACCCGTTGCCGGCCCACCTCATGCAGGCGCTGGTCAATAACGGCCAGATCAGCGAGCACCTGGAAATGGCGGCCATATGCAGGCACATGACCAAAACGTGCCTGTACTGCTCGACATATGTTGAAGACATGACAACGGTCCTCGACGTCGAAAATATGATGCCTCTTGAGGCAAACCTCAGGGTCGTCCCCAAGAAGGCGCGCAAGACGAAAAGCAATAGCGAACGTTCGCCTTCCTCTCGCCCACGACGTCTTCAGCAAGGTATGCTTCAGTATAGCTACCACGCCCAAGATGACGAAGGATGCGAAATCTGTCCTCCACTTGGAAACATCCCACCGCGGCAAGATCGGGCTGGAGAATGCACAGTGCGAAACCGCATGCGGCAATCCTGAATAAGTTGCCCTGGCTGAACTCTCCATTGCAGGCGTTCCCGTGCAAGCGGTCCGACCATATCGGGCTGCAAATGGATAGGAATTGTGGACCTGGGGTAGAACATGGCTACGATACATCGGAGACGGGAGTAGTAAGCTGGGCACACGATGTCGACCTTCGGAGGAGCCGGTTCGCTCGTTGCTTGAGGAGCGCTGACTGCATGGCAGGATGCCTTTCAAAAGGTGATTTTGGCTCTGCCATGCTTCCATCGGCATGGGCTCAACTGGCTCTGCCTGACACTTAACATGACGTGTTGCTTGTTGCTCTTGTGGGATTCTCGGCAGCTCTCGGCCGGACCAGGCAGCTGCCAATTCCTGCGCGTCCACTGAGGGTGTGCACAGCCTTGAACCCACCTGCACTCTACATCTCGCAGCATCTCGCAGCATCGGTTCATTCCTGTGCGTACTGTCCTCTGCATGCCACACACTTACCACTTGCACGGCAATCAATGGCCAGGGCTGCCACTTGGATGGTGGCGCGCCCTGCACCCGATCAAGCCGTCCGCTCTTGCAACCCCCTGCTCGCACACCATACTGACTTCACTAAAGCGTGCAGGAGAGATACCGACTCGTTGAAATCAGCGGCAATCCAACACCACCTCGTCGGCAGAAGCTTGCGACAGCAGCATGGTGTGGCACGAATTACTCGTGAGCATGGACTCCACTTGCTGAGCTTATGGCTTGCAATACTGCCTTGGTTCCCGCAGTTTCTTGAACAATCTTACTGTCCGATGTTGCTATGTCACAAGTCGAAAGCCGTGCAGGCTCGGGTGCCGTTGATCGCATGGGCTCAAAAAAAGCTCGCCGCCTGATGCTTTGAGTGCCACATGCCGGTAAAGGAGTACTCGACAACGAAACTGGTATTGCTCGTGGTCGAAAGCTAACGACAGATTCTGCAATGATCTCACTCCGTGCATCGAGCACCCGTGCCCCATCCTGTCCTTCCGCTCTGCAGGATATGCATCGCGCCACACTATCAAGCTCGAAATCGAAGCAAAACTCACCTTCACTGATGCACAGCTTCGAAGAGTACGGAAATCCACGCCGCCAGCCGTAATTCGAAGGCCGAGGAACTGCGGCTCAGCAGCTTCGCATCCAGCTCAGGTGACGTGCGGCTGCGTTTCAAGTGTGCAGCTTCAGCTCCATCACAGAACATGTGGGTGGCTGAAACCATCCTTATCAAGCGCGAGCACTCTGGCACTGGCCGGGTGTGCATTCATGCATATCAAGCTTACAATGAACATGTTGCTTCCCGCGCTGTTCTGGTTCTGAATGTTCTGACTCGTCGTCTTGTTGAGCCTGCATCGGCAATCCTGGCTCCTGACTTCTACAACTTTTGGCTCGCGGGTTCATGCTCTTCTTTGACCTGCTCTCTTCTGGTCGCGGCTTCGCGGCACGTACTTCCTGAGCACCTGCTGAAAACGCTGCACTTGCTCCCCCAAGTCAATATATGAAGCAGAACACGTAGTCTGTTGGTCAAGCAAGCGGCGAAAGACCCAGACCCGCCCACGTAAACACATCCTCGTTCATCTTTCCATGATCCGAAACAGTCCGCCATCATCATGATGGCTTCGCCCCAAAGGAGATAGTGTCGGACGATGCTTGAAGCAGGGCTCTCTAGCTATGCCTGCCTGCCCCTCCAACCCTCAGTTCAAGCCTGCTCAACATTGTAAAATCAGCAAGTGGAATGGAGGTTTCAACCGGTGGAATGGGTGACTCACCCGAAAGCAGGGATGGCTGGGCATCGAGCACCTACAGCAAGCGCAGTGCACAATGAAAGCCAGTCCCTCTTCTCTAAGCGGATAGCGAACGAGCGTTCTGGGTCAATTTGGGCCGCAACATTCTATACCAAGATGCCATTGACTGCATCCATCACGACATAAACTTTCCACAGGTCTTCGTCGGTTTCGCGGCTGTCCTTCGCTGTGGCCTGAAGCTCATTTTGCTCACTAATATCACATTGTCACCTGTCGTGGGCAGCATCCACTAGCCCGGGATGGCACCTTCGCCGTGTAATACAACACTCTTGCCTTTGTCTTGTGTATTGATGTGTTTGTGCTCTTCGTGATCTATCGCCAAGACTGCTGTTTATCTTTTGGGGTACGAGTGCTGCTCACATTTTGGAAACCGCATGGTTCGAGGATCGCGAAATCGTGGATTGCCCTCTCGCGTTCTTCGATGTGACAAGCGAAAGTCGGACCGAAACTGCATCTATCCGGGTCACTTCTTCCAATGTCAGAACTACTGCAGCAACGGCTCTGCGATACATCAGGGCATGTCCTGGTCTGGAGCCGCTGACGATGCACTATTGTTGGAAGTTATGATGTCACAACAACAGCGACCTCCTCGAACATGAGGATGGAGCAGATGCACTCTGAGAGTGCCGTGGCTGCCTTGTTTGCGAACACAGCGCAAGACTTGGTTTTTGCTGGTCGGCACGGGGACAAACCAATCCGTTTACAACACATGGTTCCACACTGATTCTTATGCTGGCAAAGCTTGAAATTGGATCTCTTCCTCAAGATGCGACATGGGTGCTGCCTCACCAACTTACAGGGAGGAAGTCATAAAGCTGCAACCAACTAATTTGGTACCCACGTGCCGCAAACCAGGACGCAGCTGATAATCGTTCGCAGTTAAGGCCCAAGCTCTTGCACACTCTGACTCGGCGAAGTCTGCAAATTCCACCGCGGCGCCTTCTTGTAAAGAACATGATGCACTGAAGAACCGCCCTGAAGTCATTTTGAACCAAGCTTCTCCTATCTGTTCAATCTCGAACTGCAGTACGACAGGGTTGTCGTCCGCAGACGGGTCGTCTTCGCAGACCTTCGGAAACCGAAACAAGCCAAATTCCACACCCCGACAGTCTAACTACGTCACAGAAAAGCCATGAGAACATCCGCACTGTCTTTCCGTCTGGCCTCTGTCGCAGCTTTTTTCGAGAATTGCTGCTTGCGTGTTTGCAAGGAAGATCGATTTGGGAATCAGGGTCGCGTTCAGCATGGGGCTACAAAAGCCAACGAAGCATTAGCAATATTTCAGCTATGGTCTCACCTGTAGATGAGAAAGCTTCTAGAATACACAGTACATGTATCATACATACGAGCATGTATATGTATGTCTGTCTATATATATATATGTACATCGACATTTATACGTATACACATATAGCTATACACATGTACATATATATATATACATACATACATATGTACATATAAACATATATGCATTTATACATCTATACAACTATACAACTATACATATATACATATATACATATATACATATACATATATATATATACACATATACATATACATATATACATATGTATATATATACACATATACCTATACCCATATATATATATATATACATGTGTGTGTAGATATATATATATATGTATATATGGTTGCGGCTCGGCGGCCCCCCCTCCCCCATCCCCCCCCATGGTTCAGTTTGTATACAA